TTATTTTTCATTTTTTTAAAGTTCTCTGCATTGTATGACTGTACAGTTTCTTTACATATAAATAAAATAATAGTCAAATAGACTGTTCGATTGTCCTCGAAACATTACAATCTAATAATATAAAATAATCTTTATTACAGCTGTTAATTAAAAGCAAAATGTGATATTTAAATAAAAGTATTAACTCCCAAACAGCAAAACGGTGTTTTCCGGATTTGCATACCATATGGTTCTGATAAAAAGAGCTTATAGGTATTAACGTTTAATTTAGACTAACACTATTTTTCTATTACTTAACTAATGTATATCTGCTGTAATTCTGGATTTACTTGTTATTTGAATTTCGTTGTTTGTACGATTACTGAGGTGGTAAACAGATGCAGTTTTTTCAGATTTAATTCGATGGCTTACTATTAACATTTTATCAACGAGAAACTCAATAACTCAATGTACGAACAGTGTGTCTATTTTTAAAAAACAAATCACCGTTTAGTAGCTTATATATACAAAGCAACAACAAAACAGTTAAAAAGTCACCAAAGGCACATCGATTAATTACAGTTTAAAGGCAATTGATTACAAATTTTAAATGAGTCGTAGCGATTTTACAGTTACATATGGGAAACAGGTAAAACGTCAACAATGGCCCATCGAAAAAATAAAGTTAAAAGTTACTTAATTACAAATTTGAAAAGGGCTTTAACTATTTTACCGTTACAACTTTCGTTAACGGGCCAATCACTTGCCGCAACTTCAATGTTTGTTGGGGTAGACCAATTTTGTTTACAACAATCGAATTGTAAAAATTTACTGTCTGTTTACGTAGTTGCCAAATTATTATGGACTACGTTAGTGTGACGTATCAGGCTCCTGACAGCATTCGCCTGCGACTTTTAAATATCATACTTATAGGAAATTAGTATCAATCCTTGCTTTTCAGTATTAGTTGACTCCAAGAAATGTTGGTTGCATACATTTGGGCGCTTTATGAGGATTCTGACGATAATTTTGACGTAAGATTCACTAACCAAATCACGTGGTACGGGTTTGACCCAATGACATATAGTTTATATAGACTGCTTATTCATATATAAACAAGACGATGAAAAGCGGATCATATAGTCGAAGCAATGAAGCAAAAAGTTCCTGGGTTTTTCCGTGCAAGTCGGATCGGACTGCGGTTTTTTGCATTTGCTTGCAAAAATTATTTGTATCATTCCCTCGTAATTTCCGGGTCATACAAACCGGGAATTGCATTGCTGCAGCCAAAAATGCATTCAAAAAATGCATTATTTGAGAGGCCTCTTGGATGATTTCAAAACTAGCCCAAATCGGGTTCTCAGGGGTTTTCGAGGTCGCTGATCACGATTATCATGTCTAAATTGACCCACAACCGACCTAGAGCTCAGGAACGTCGACGAACGTCATCTTCGTGGGACTCTCCCAAAATTCACGCGGGGAAGGAGGGAAACTAGGCGATCAGGGTTTTTTTGGGGCGCTCAATCCAAATATGGCATCGGCGAATACCCCCCAGACACCTGGTGCGCCCAAACCTCGACCTGGACGGCATCTTCGAGAATTTTCCTCACCATATCAACAACAACAATCCGAAAATGATTAGGCGGAGTTTTTTGGGGCGCTAAATCTAAATTTCACGTCGAAAACGACCCCCTGGACACCTGGTGCACCGGAACTTGGCCCTGAACGTCATCCACGAAGGGTTTCCAGACACAATTGAAAAAGACGAACCGATAATCGTTCCGGGGGGTTTTTTGGGGCGCTAAATCCGAATTTCACGTGGAAAATGACCCCCCGAACACTTGGTGCGCCCTAACTTGGCCCTGAATACTGCAATAGCTGTGTGCAATTGTTGATTCTAGATTACGTGAGGAGGAAAAGAAAGAGAATTAATAGAAATGCAATATTTATGTAATTTACGGTAAAACAATTTTTATTGGCCTCAAATCGAATACAATGAACCTGTAAGTTTGTTATTCCTTAATTAATTAATAACTCAAATATGTCTGTTCAGATTTCTTCGTCATCGACTGATGTATTCATTAACGTTTTCATCTGAATATCTTTCAGTGTTAAGGCAAGTTGAACCTTCACAAATTTTACAGGCAAGATTGCAAGGTAGGCCGGGCTTCCTGCAACTACAGGTGTTCATATTACAATCTCCTTTGCATCCACAGAATATTAGTTCCATAATATTCTTTTTTAATTGGGTCTGGAAAACCTCGGTGAAGAAGTTCAGGGCCAAGTTAGGGCGCACCAAGTGTTCGGGAGGTCGTTTTCCACGTGAAATTCGGATTTTCGCTTCGTCATTTTCAATTGTGTCTGGAAACCCCTTGGGGATGACGTTCAGGGCCAAGTTCCGGTTCACCAGGTGTTTAGGGGGTCGTTTTCGACATGAAATTTAGATTCAGCGCCCCAAAAAACTCCGCCCAATCATTTTCGGGCTGTTGTTGTCGATATTGTGAGGAAAATTCTCGGAGATGACGTCCAGATCGAGGTTTGGGCGCACCAGGTGTCCGGGGGGTATTCGCGGATGGCATATTTAGATTCAGCGATCCTAAAAAACCCCGATCGCCTAGTTGCCCTCCTTCCCTGCGTGAATTTTGGGATAGTCCCACGAAGATGACGTTCGTCGACGTTCCTGAGCTCCAGGTCGGCTGTGGGTCAATTTATAATCGTGATCAGGGACCTCGAAAACCCCCGAGCACCCGATCTGGGCTAGTTCTGACACTTATTTAACAAGTTTTGAAATCATCCAAGAGGCCTCTCAAATAATGCATTTTTTGAATGCACTTTTGGCTGCAGCAATGCAATTTCTGGTTTGCACGGAAAAACCCAGGAACTTTGGCCTTTTTAGTGCTTCATTCCTTCGACTAATATTGCAGTCGTCTATATTGTCCTGCCGAATACGGAGAATGGTCGCGCAGTTTTCTGAGTGCCTTTTAAAAGGAGATAGAAAACTCCGCCATTTTGAACACTTATTACGTGTTGCCTACATCTTGGCGCAATAGTTTCAGTAGTTATGTTATAATATTTACCCAAAGTTAGTCCCCAAAGTTATTATTTAGGAACCTACTCTTAACAAATAATCAATATCTTGAAAACCTTGCTTTTATGTTAAATCTTCCTATTTGTAAGTAACAGTAACTACTTTAATTATGTTCCTATTGTTGTGTTCTAAATGCTTTTTATTTTTCAGGTCTCCTGGGAATTTCGAGCACTTAACTTAAACAGCATTTACAAACCATTAATCAAATTGTTTAGAAACTATTTTTAGCTAAACTCTGTTGTTATGTCTGTTCTCAGCATTTTGAGAAAAATTCTTATTGCACTTATGTAAAAAGGTATGTAATCAATCATGAAACAATTCTTTGTAGAAAGCAAATACCAAAAAAATTTAATCATTTACTCTAATAGATAGGAGCAGTATTAAAAATCAAACGAAATAATATAAATACATTTATATTACAATAATAGTTTTTATTTATTTCAGGTTTACTACCTCTGGCTCATCTACACGCCTGAAGGTAGAGCCTCTAAGAAAAAAGCCCCCTCTGCTAAATAGTTTATCTGGAACAGTTAGAAAATGTCCTGTAATATTTAATTTTTTTATTTGGTACAGTAAACTGTGTAACAATTTCGGATAAATGGAAATTTCTGAAAAGCAAAAGTACCACTGATCCAGATACATTGATTTTGTACATTAGACATACACAGGAATCATAAAAGTAAAAAAAAAATGTCTTTTAGAGCCACCATATGTCTACATCCTTTTTTACAATATTAAGTCAACGGACTAAGAAAAGCATGTAATCTTAGAAAACGAGAATATTGTGGAGGTAGTGACAGTAATACCCATAGGGGTATTTTCTTAAATAGAAAATACTCAGAATTTACTATGTAACAACTAAAAGAAGACTCATTTGTAGATGAACAATACATCTAATAAAAAAAAAGTAAAGGTTATACAAATTCAATGTGTCTGTCTCAGATAAATTATAAAATAAAAACACAAACCATCTATCTTTTGCAGCTTGCCTGCAAGAGTATATTCGTCTGGTAATATCATTTAGTTAGAGCTTCTTTAATCTCACATTTCTTTGTTTTCATTTTATAGTTTCGTATCACATTTACAGCTGAAAAAATGCAAAATATATTAGATTGTTTAGCCTCTAAGATTTTTATTACATTGCAAACATAAAATATTTATTCATAGGCATGGGATTGGCGAAAAATATCATAATATTAAGGTAAAATCATATGCACAGCTTTAAAAATAATTTAAAACCATTTACCTCAATTTCAAGATGCACTCGCAATTATAACTTTACTTCAAAGAAGTTTCTTGTATATTATTTAAAATAAATAAACGTTTCTTCTACATTTGTTGCCTTCATTTAAAATCTCAAAATACCAAGATGTAGGCTACCTGTTTAACATTTTGGAAAAATGTGTTGCCTAACCTAGTAGTAATTGCATCAAAATGGCCGCGCCCTATGTTGAGCGTATCGGGCGTCGCGTCTCTCTTGCACCGTATAGTATTCAAAGTATGTAGATGGAGCAGTCTATATAAACTATATGTCATTGATTCGACCAGAGAAGAACTCTCGGGTTTGACCATGACATTTTATTAAAAAAGATGGACGATATCTGCTAACCACCAGTCGTTTTTTGTCTCTCCTGTAAAATTAGCAAATGGCGCTTGTCATACTTATTTGGGGTGTCTAAATGGATTATGAAAATGAAAAAATATCCAGCTTTGTACGAATTTTTGGACAGCACGGCCTTTTTTGTGGGACAATAATTTCCCTAGCCTATGTTTTTAAATTTTAACTGTGACTGCACCGAAATGTATCTAGAACGATCTAAATAAAAATATAATTTGGCCAATAAATCTATACATATTTGTAAAGCGAGACAGATTCGAACTTTAAATAATACAGAATTTTTAAATAGTACTTTATTTAAAAAACTGTAGAAATCACATTCCATCTAAAGTTACAATTAAAAATAAAGATATATATTATATAAATTGCCAATAAAATATTATGAGATCACATACTAGTCCTCATTAAAAGTACGTACAAGAATACACAATTTTTAGAATTTTGCACATCAGAATGTGAACTACACAAAAATAACACTAATTTAAATAAATTATTATAATAACAATGATTTGTTTATTTTTATTTGTACCAACATTTATTGACAACACCTTATAAACTAATTGTAAAAAAATATCATTAGGTACCTACTGACACACTTAATTACAGAAATTATTTTACAACTTTTTTTACTAAAAAAGACAAGAGTGCGAGCGTAACCGGTCCCTAATTTGTACAACCAAAAAATATGAATATTTGTAACATATTAATTAAAAATAATACATTGTACCATCCAAAATACGTACCTACTACAAATTAAACATTGGATTTTATGAGTACCTAACAGAGAAAAGGTATAGCAGAACAATTCAAAAATTAATGTCTATATTTTAAAAAGTACAAATAAAGGTTGCATGTTTTACCTTACATTACAATTTACATAAAAAACTAAATCAATTAAAACAAATAAATTAAACTATTCAGAAAAGGTTACTATTGAATCCTCACTATAATGTTCTTAGGCAACACAAACTACAACAAATTAGTTGACCTTTAATAGTCATGCGCTAGACATAATTTTAAAACAACGAACCAAAAGGGTAACAAACAGAACAGGGAATTAGATGTACAAAGGTAAGGAATTACCAGAAATTGCCAAAAATTAGGGAGGAACTACAGAGATATTAAAAGGTAATTAGGTTTGCAATGTTCAACAATTTATTCTGTTCTTATGCAACACAAACTGCAACAAATCAGTTAAACTTTAATAGAAATAGTGGTTAGTGGTTAGACATCATTTTAAAGCAACAAGCACAAAGAATTAGATGTACAGGGGTGGGAAATTACGAAGAATTTACAGGTTTAAGGAATTGAGAAGAATTACGGAACGTGCCGAAGAATTGCCAGTAATTTTGGGAATTAAATGAATTTATGGGTTTAAAGACGGGTGTAAAGACAGGTTTAAAGGGATTTACAGACTTAAAAGAATTGTGAAATTCACCAGGAATTGTGGGATTTACCAGTAATGTTGGAAATTAGTGGAATTTATAGGTTTAAAGAAATTTATGGGTTTACAGACTGATGTAAAGACAGGTTTAAAGAAATTAACAGGTTTAAAGGGACTTACAGACTTAAAGGAATTATGGAATTCGCCAGGAATTGTGGGATTTGCCAGTAATATTGGATATAGGAATTTATAGGTTTAAAGAAATGTATGGGTTTAAAGACTGATGTAAAGACAGGTTTAAAGGGACTTACGGGCTTAAAGGAATTGTGGAATTCGCCAGGAATTGTGGGATTTGCCAGTAATATTGGATATTAAAGGAATTTATAGGTTTAAAGAAATGTATGGGTTTAAAGATTGATGTAAAGACAGCTTTAAAGGAATTAACAGGTTTAAAGGGACTTATAGGCTTAAAGGAATTGTGGAATTCGCCAGGAATTGTGGGATTTGCCAGTAATATTGGATATTAAAGGAATTTATAGGTTTAAGAAAATTTATGGGTTTAAAGACTGATATAAAGACAGCTTTAAAGGAATTAACAGGTTTAAAGTGACTTACAGGCTTAAAGGAATTGTGGAATTCGCCAGGAATTGTGGGATTTGCCAGTAATATTGGATATTATAGAAATTTATAGGTTTAAAGAAATTTTTGGGTTTACAGACTGATGTAAAGACAGGTTTAAAGGAATTAACAGGTTTAAAGGGACTTACAGACTTAAAGGAATTGTGGAATTCGCCAGGAATTGTGGGAGTTGCCAGTAATATTGGATATTATAGGAATTTATAGGTTTAAAGAAATGTATGGGTTTAAAGATTGATGTAAAGACAGGTTTAAAGGAATTAACAGGTTTAAAGGGACTTATAGGCTTAAAGGAATTGTGGAAATCGCCAGGAATTGTGGGTTTTGCCAGTAATATTGGATATTAAAGGAATTTATAGGTTTGAGGAAATTTATGGGTTTAAAGACGGGTGTAAAGACAGGTTTAAAGGAATTAACAGGTTTAAAGAGATTTACAGGTTTAAAGGAAATGTGGAATTCGCCAGAAATTGAGGGATGGGCCAATAATTTTTATAATTGACAGGGAATTAAAGTAATTTATAGTTTTAAAGAAATTTACGGATTTAAAGACAGGTTTAAAAGAATTAACGGGTTTAAAGAGATTTACAGGTTTAAAGGAATTGTGGAACTCGCCAGGAATGAAGGGATTGGCCAGTGATTTTTGGAATTGACAGGAAATTAAAGTAATTTATAGTTATAAAGAAATTTACGAGTTGAAAGATAGTTTATTAAAAGTAATTAATAGGTTTAAAGGGATTTGCAGGTTTAAAGGAATTTACTAATTTACAGTAATTTACAAATTTAAAGGAATTGACAGGAAATTGTGGAAATTCGCAGGAATGTGTGTGTAGGGAATTGTTAAGAAATTACCGAGGAACTGCACAGAAATTAGAAAATTATTTTAAAGAACCTGCGCTAGGCTATTTGATAGTAAAAGTGAATTAGGTGTATAAATTTTGATCTGAGATTTATCCATGACAACAAATTATTATCATTTTTTGATACATATTGTTACAAATAAAATACGAAAAACTTTTTTTTGTATCACAGATATATAGAAGTACAGTATAGATTAAAAATATTTTAAGTTTTAGGTTCCAATGAATCCATCTATTTAAAAAAGTAGGTACGCGAATCAACTTAGATACTTATTACAATTAAAACTAATAAAGCTTACATTTTATACATTATAAAAATTAACAATATACATAACAAGTGCTTATTTACATAAAATTCATTAAAATTACATTCTTATCATAAAATTTAATATGCAAATAATTTTTTTTACGTGTTCATGTTTAGAGAAACTAGCTATCATTCAAATGTCTCAAGAATAGTTTCAATATTGTTTTATATTGGCATTTTTTATGGTTTCATGAAATATTTAGTTGCTTCATATTATTTTATTTAGTTTTTAATATTTAAAAATATAAAATTGATAACTGTGAAATACAGAAAATGACAGATGGGCGAAAACGCATAAACAAGAACAAAATGGTTCAGGAAAGCATAGTTGCGACTCGGTAAAGGAGAAATTGAGAAAAATTCATCTATACAAAGAATGAATAATAAACATGTCAAATTCTTTGATAATGATGAAAATTCTGGATAACAAAAATTGATGAGTAGGGACCATTTAGGCCTATAAATTTAATAGACCACAAAACAGCAATATGTACGTAAGTAGGTGTATAAGACCTTCGAATGTTTACCTAATGATTGAATACAAGAACATCAAATTTGATACCACCCAGAGCCACACAGCACTCACAGTTCAATAGACGTCCATTTTAGATGCATACACATTTTATTTTCTTTCCAAAATATATTTCGTAATTAAAAATTGACAAATTAAATCTATTGCATTTTATTCCAACAGTGGAAATTTGAAATCTTATTATCTATAAGAATCATAGTAAAAAATTGTTGAATATCTACGTGGTTGAGGGCGTAGAGCGGCTGAAGATGCCTAACTTTAACTGACGTGTCGTGAGTTCGATTCCCGATCAGGTCAAGCTATTTTAAATTTTAATTTAATAAAAAATAGTAGTATATATATAGTTGGATATCAGAAGTGCAGAAAAACCTAATTTTTAACCGTCCAGACATCCAAAAATGTATATCTAACGGACATATTTGTGCTTTATGGATAAGCATTATATTACGCACAATCCAAATTAGACATCTAAGAAGTTCAACCATTCTGACAAAATGAAAATTTAACATGTCAATGTATTCTATGATGATGATGATGATAACTAAAAAAATTAAAATACTGATTGGTGAGCGATTTAAATCTTTCAGTGTATTAATGGACAAATTAAAATCACACGTGGTGAAAGTAAGCATGGACAAAAATATAAAGAAAATCTTGGTTATTTGGTAAATTTTACTGAAACCATCACAATCTTTAGATGTGTAGTTACAAGAAACGTTTTGTGAGAATTCAGATCAAAGTAAAAGTACTTAGCTCAGAAAGAAAAACAAGAATCTTGATCCAAGAGAATGCGTGCTATGGGGGAAAAAATTTATATCAATGAGGACTTAACAATAAACACTAGAAATTTGTTTAAAAATCCAGTATGATAAAAAATCATTATAAATATATGCCAAGAAATATGAAGTTAGAGTCTGATTAAAATCCTATTATAGTACGAATTAAAACAATCAATATCAACAGTTCACAAATACAATTTAACTATTAAAAAAATAAACAAACTACAAATTACTTGTACTATCTTCCCATAATATCAGCTATAGTAAATCCAGTCATCCTAGGCGGGTTCTGAGGAGGCGGCGGTTGAGGCGGTTCGATCTTCTTCATACTCAAATCACTCGCCACATTATTACTATTACTACCCCCAGGACTCAAATCCTGATGCCCCATTTTCACCGTCCCAGTTATCCCAGGTCTAAATATAATCGAAGTACCAGTATCGGGAGGTTTTAATCCCATGTGAACCACCGAATTGCCTCTAATACCCGGATGGTACGCTCTGAGATTCATAGGTGGCGACAGCGGTCTCATCGCATTGAAGGTGGGTCTGTCTTGATCGAAATGTCGTTTTCGCGACGCTGTTAGTAAGAAATTGGGTTCTGGTGCTTCGCTGGTTATCGTGCTCGGTTTCAGCGTCGGTGCGTGATGCAGATCGCGTCTTATTTGAAGTTGCGGCAGAGGGATGTGATGCGGATCAGGTTCTGGGTCTTTCAGTACTTCGGAACAGTCTTCTTGGCCGGGATCTGAAGAAAAACGGAGATTAGAAATGTAATTGGGTCAGTGCGCATCATCACTACAATACTGACATAACTGGGAAATTGTTATTAGTAGATAAAATTCAAATACAACATAATGTATTTTATTTAAAATTAAAGCCCTTATTAAATTATGTTAGTTTATTTTTATATGTAAACATAAAAACAGTTAAATATTACGGTGATTTTCTGGAAACATTACTTTTTTAGTTATGTCAGTATTGCACTAATGGTGCGAGTTGTTCAACAGAAATAGAGAACCACTCCCTCCATCAACCAATCATGATAGAAACAATGCCTACTTAATAATAAAAATACGTTTTATTTGTCAAAATTATTAGCCTAATAATAAATATTATATGATGTAAACAGTGGCGGCTCGTGGGCACTTTTTTTATAATAAGGTCTTCAAAAATGCTATAAAACCTTCTTATAAAACTTTAAGTAATAACGCTAAATAAAGTAAACGAAACGTTTTAGATGCGATATTATAACATTTTGGTATTTATTAGATGCCTTACACCCATAATTTTGCAATAAAATATGAAGTGAAGATAAAAGCAGTTTAAAACTAATATTTATTCAATGTTTTACACATGATGCTGTTTTTTTATTGTTTTATTATAATTAACTTTTTAATTGATATGTATATGAAAATTTATTCAACTAATATCATGTCTAGAAAAGTTAACAATTAATAAAATTTATTATTTCTTGAAATATTTTATTGCATCTGCATAAACTTATTGGCTTATGTTAATTCATTTTAATGCTTTGGTAAATAGGTTTTTCCAAACAGCGCTACCACTTATATAAAAAAAAAAATTAAAAATAATTCTCATGTGAAATCGTAATTTTAATACGTTGTTAAACTTCTAGGTACATTATTAAATATTTTTAAATACTGGTATGTACATACCCATCGTGCAGAAATTATGTAATATATTTATAGATTAGATTAGCAGATATCTAAAAACATTATTTAATTACAGAAGCAAAATATGAAAATGAATTAAAAGATAATTATTTTTTATTTTAATATTTCCTTCTCTAGCTTAAATTTTTGATTGTAATATGTGAATGTTAATAACATTTCTTATTGGGTTGTAAAACATATCCATATTGACATGCACTGTATATTTCTCTTTGTTCAATTAAGGATAATTTTAAGGGGGCGATGATAATAAAAAAAAAACCACGAAAGGTTGAAAACCTCTGATATATAAAACGAAAATAAAATAAAATATTTTTAACTATTTAAAAAAAACTGTTAATTACTTCAATCATATTCATTTATTTCTAATAAAAGTAGAGACAATATAAAACAAAGAAAAAATCTACAAAGCTTCAGATCACAAATGAAATGGAAGATAAAAAGAAGAATTTTTATTTAAAATTACCTAATAAACAAGAAATACGGTAAACCTTTGAAATCATAAATATCTAAATTATTATTTAGAATATTTAATAAAAAAACCCCAGCAAGACCAAGTATCAAAAATTAATCTTTAGAATCAAAATTTCAATTGTACTCTCTTCAATTAGCAAAGTCAATTTACCTATTTCTGGATCCTCATCTAAATCCTCATCGTCTGTATCATCGTGCGCAAGACTTCGATCAATCGGTGGTCTCATAGTGTACGGACTTGAAGAGGAACACGGTTCATGGCACTGTGTAATACCAGGAGCTGGTGAACACCCTCTCATTTCTCTGTCGTCTCTGGAATCCACAGACAAGCTTCTAGGTCTCGGAGACATTTTCTCTCCATCTTCTCCACCTAAATCAACAGCAAAATTTCGATATCAATTTAATTCTACGGATGGTATTTTAAATTAATACTATTTTATCTACACCAAAGTCGAGCAGACCTTATCTTGAATGTCAGGTTACCAAGGGCATCGAGACGTTGACCAAAGCCATTTAGAACCATTTATTGGTATTGCTAAAGCACTAATTAAGCAATGGAAGCAAAAATTAGGCTATTAATGGGCTTTGAGATATTCACAAAGGCTATTTAGAACCATTAAGTTGTAAATAAAGCATCAATTAAGCAATATAAACAAAAAAGCCTTAGGATTGATAAAACAATCATCTAGGACTAACATTCGATAATGAAGTTCTTCATAACATATATTATGCCAGAGGAAAACATCAATACATGTGCTATTTTGAATAAGTACCTGACTACAGGCGAAGCTAAGTCAAAATCATGTAGTCAAAAAGCTGATAAGTATCTTTAAGAAGTTGTGTTCTAAATAACGAATTTCTACAAAGTGAAAAATGACTCAGTAGACAAGGAATAACTCTTCTAAAGTCTACATTCAGGCAAAAGGTTGATGGTATACATACTTCCTAAACAGATTCATACTGTTTGTCCTAAGATTTAAAGCAATAATTGTAAATAATGAAATAATGAAACAGTAATCGAAATTGTCCAAAAGATTCAATTTAAATAACTGAAATGTTGAAATAACTTCCAGAGAAAGCAATTGTACTGAGCTGTGTACTTAAGCTTTAGCTGGCAAACCACCTAATGAAGTATCATCAATCAATCTATGTATTTACTGCTACTATTACCTACAGGAAAAGACTACGAAGATCCAGGCCTGGATTAAATTGAATGAAAAGTCCATTACCTCAACTTTCCAAACAAACAAGAAATGCTTTCGGTATGAGGACTTGGGTATGCCTCTAGACGTGTTAGGCTCCACTAGAGAGTACATGTCAAAATCGAACAAGAAAAATGGACTGTATTCAAGCTCTCTACACATAATAAATTGCTTCTCAACAAGCAAATCCTAAAACCCGTTTAGACATAGGCATCCAGCTTTAGGGCTGGCAAAAAGCAAACATCAAAATTATTGTAAAACAACAGAACAATATACTAAGGAACATGTGGTTGCATCCCTACGTGACTGATATTTTCTGGATCCTACAAAAGGAGTAAGAAGCTATCACCACGTTCGCCAGAAGTGATAAATAAAGACTTCTTCAACATATAAATGTCTAGGCTATCCAGCTCCTAGACAACACAAGTCAAATAAGATGACTGAAGAAATTCAAACAGTTTGAGTTAATCTAATAGTGAAAGTAGAGTAATTATATTATTTATTAGGATCATAGGAAAAACTATTAAGTAATACCTTGGTTTTAAAAGTTTCAAAATTGTAGTCAATTAGTTAAGAATTACAAATAAATACTAATTAAAAAGATGTGTCATTATAAATCTCTTATATCACCGTTTTTTATTCTAGAAGGACCTAGAATAGATTTTAAATGAGGTCAAAATAGAACCCTAGTACTATAATAGTACTATATTTAAATCTGAATGCCCTTAAGGGACCAATATTAATGATGTTGATCTTAAATGATAAAACAAAATAACTAAATTATGCACGATCTTTTTTTTTTGTTCATGGGAAATTTATTATCTAAGAATAGAACTAGACGTATAATTATATCTCAAAAAGACCTATTTCTGTATTCTATCTACCTGCGTAGAGTTGTTTAAAAGAGTAAAATGGTTACAAAAATTTAAAAAATAAATCTTTTTCATGTTTACCAAAATCCAATCAAACAATAAATATAAATTTGTTTCCTACCTGGTATGTATCCATCACCAAGACCATCAGGAGGTACGTCGCCTACAGCGTGTGTCAACGCGTGGCGCCTCAGATCACAATTTCTTCGAAAAACTTTACCACAAGAATTGCATTCGTATGGTTTATGATCGGTATGGGTAAGAAGATGGGTTTTTAGATTAGATCGTTGATTAAAGGAACGACTGCAAACAGGGCACTTGTGCGGGGATTCTTCCATATGGAGGATTTTGTGGACGGCCAGGGTCCTTGATTGACAGAATCCTTTGCCGCATTCTCCGCATTTGAACGGTTTTTCTTTACTGTGGATATACCTGAAAAATAATTGAATTTATATAAACAAAAAAAATTATCAAGAAATATATACATAAGAATGTTTAATTCATCTCAAAAAAAAGGAAACTTCCGTAAAGAATCCCCTAATTTCTTTAAACGTGGAATATTCTTCTTCTTTTTCTTGTTATTTTACTTTGAAGATTCTATGTGTCAAATAGGATTTTAATTTGTCACAATGTTAGGTATTCCAACACTTTCTTCAACTATTTATTCAATACTTGGTACTTAATAATTTTACTATAACCTGCTTATACATTTTTCATAAATTGACATGCTTGGCGAATAAAAATATTTATGTCGTAACCCTCTTAGATATACGAGTCCTTCCCACTGACAGCTATTGTTATAGTCTATTTGAAGGTATGACAGAGTAATAAAACAGCATTTCTAATGCAAAACTTAGTACGGTCATTTTAAATATTTTTACAGAATAATCTAAATATTTCCTAAAATTGTAATAAATGTACCTGAGCTATTATAAGTTTTGGGTCTTTTATTGGTCCTTTATAAACATTATAAACATAAGCTGTACAGAACAATAGAAAAAGGTTTGGACAGGCCAAAAGCCCTGTGTATTAAAGATTACATAGCCGTATCTTAAGATTACTTTCAATAAGTACCTATTTGCCAATTTTGTTTTATTTTAATTCCAAGAATTTCTTACAGTAATCGAATTATAAGTAGATAAATACCTTCCCGACAAATTTCACCGTAAATGCGATTATAGATTTTCCATTTAGTAAGGAGGTCCAAGTTGTGTATTCTTGACAGTTTACTAAATGTCGTTTAGTTGCAACTTGCAAGGTGCAGTGTGAATTCTAGTGTGATCATGGAAAATTTGGAAGGGCCGCGTAAACGACAAAAAATCGGTCCTTTAACAGTTAATGAAAAAACATTAATATTTAATTGTTTTAAATCATTTACAGACAAACATTTATGTAAAAGTGTTGATGACACAGTGGATTTAGTTAGTAGTACGCTTGGTGTTGGGAAATCTACGATTTACAGAGTTGTTAAAGAAGAGAAATGTGGCGAGTTTCAAACAGCAGGTAAAGCACCAGGAAAACCAAAATTTCAATTAGAAAATCTTTTGAAAGAAAGACTTCGAAGGAAAGTGCATGCGTTCTTCTTTATAAAAGAATTTCCCACAGTAGACAAAGTTCTTGATACGGTTCGAGATGATAAGGATTACCCTGAAATGAGTCGAAGCACACTATGGAAACTTTTAAAAGAAATCGGTTTTCTATGGAAAAAGCATTCCAGAAAGTCTATTTTAATAGAAAGAAGCGATATTGTAGTATGGAGAAGAAATTACCTAAGGACTATAAAAGAAATGAGAAACCAAAGAAGAAATATATTTTATTTAGATGAAACATGGATCAACGAGGGACATAAACCAAATAAATTTTGGCAAGATGAAACTGTTACAAGTCGAAGACAGGCTTTTTTAAATAATTTATCTACTGGTTTAAATCCACCATCAGGAAAGGGGCGCAGACTAATAATAGTACACATCGGTAGTTCAAACGGTTTTGTTAAAGGTGGTTTATTGACTTTTGAATCTACTCGTACCGATGACTACCATGAGGACATGAATGCTGATGTCTTTAAAGAGTGGTTCGAACAAATTATAGATCTTCTTCCTCAGAACTGTATAATAGTAATGGATTATGCAAGTTATCACTCGAGACTTATAGAAAAAATGCCCACAACCAAGTGGTTAAAAAAAGATTTACAGAATTGGCTAAATTCAAAGAATATTAAGTTCCATCCCGGTTCTGTGAGAAAAGAACTGTATCATTTGTGTTCCCTTCATAAAAAGAAATTCAAAAAATATGAAATTGATGGAATTGCAAAAAATCGTGGGATGACGGTGGTTAGATCACCACCATATCATTGCGAAGTAAACCCGTTTGAACTGATATGGGCACAGATAAAGGGAGAAGTTTCAAGAAAAAATAATTCTTTTAAAATGAGTGATGTTAAACAGTTGTTTTTGGAGGCTGTAATTAATGTGAAGCCTGAAAACTGGGAAAAGGCAGTAAATCATACGATTAAAGAAGAAGAGAAAATGTGGAAGTTGGACAATATTACTGATGAAAATGATCATTGTAAATATTGGTTGCGACAGTTTATCTTTTGATTTGGATTTGTAGGTAAGAAGTAGTTTTTATATTAAAATTATTATTTATGAACGTAACGTTGTTTAAAAGTCAAAGTTTAAACCCTTATACCTACATAACCCGTTTGACACAATGTTCTTAACATACCTTTTGGAAAAATAAAACATTTTAGAAAAAATTGCACTTTTTGACCTTCAGCTGTTTAGAAGTTATAAGCAGGTTAATTGGTTAATTAGGTGAAAATATAAGTGTATACTCGAGGAATAACTTCAAAAAATATTTTAACTGTCTACTAAAAGAAGTGATACGCCTATGGATTACGAACGCTTTATTATTTTTACCGACTTCAAAAAAGGAGGAGGTTATCAATTCGTCGCGATTTTTTTTTATGTATGTTCAGCGATTATTCTTTAACAAGGTGTCCGATTTCAATGATTCTTTTTTTGTTAGAAAGGGGGTACTTCAGGGGTGGTCCCATATAAATTTGGTCAAAATCTAATAATTGGGTCCATGAGAAAATCCTCAAACTCTTCATTTTTTATGTATGTTTAGCGATAATGCTGTACCACCTTGTCCGATTTATATGATTCTTTTTTTGTTAGTAAGGGGGTACCTCAGGGGTGGTCCCATATAAATTTCGTTAAGATGTGGTGATGGCATCTGCACGTTTTTGAAGTCGGTTTTTTAAAATTTTTAATTTCTAATACTTGTAATACTCTCTCATACATAAAAATAGACTATAGACAGGTCGCTGGAATGCCTAATTATTCACATTAAAACGTGTCAAATTTTCATAACCATCATAGATTTAAAAAGCAACTAAATCGCGCATTATAATAATAATAATAATAATAATCTTGTACTAGATGTTATCAACAAGTTCCAACATTTTTAATCGAAATTTACAAGAAATACCGAGAATGTCCTTTAATTGGACGTGCATACAACATTTTTGGGAACTTTTAGTGGCCGAAAAACAACCATAAACATTCCTCTCTCACACCGTTTGTTTGTTTTGATTATTTAAGTTCGAAAAACTTTATTTGGAGAGACAGTCACAGAGGTGTTTTTAATTAAAATTATTACACCGTGGTTATAGTAATAGTAGGAATTCACCGTAGCAATAATTCATTATTATACCTACAGACGCTGGCAAGTCCAGTCCCTCGACCCTGATGTCTTCAACAGGTGTGTTGCTAGAGTATAAACAGTGACGCACCAAAATGCATTGTGTAATGGTTTCTCGGATCCAACGATTCAACATTGACGACATTGTTTATCTTTTATTTCCTACAATATTACCTAATATAACACATTAATTTTATATGACAAATTGAAATAGATAGGGTTAAGATGGACAAGAAATGTTATTTTCAACAGACATGTTATTTGTGAACAGGTTGTTATTTCTGTGTGTTTATAAAATAACAGACCTGTTAAAAATAACAGACCTGTTAAAAATAACACAGAAAGGGGTCTATTCTGTAACAATTCCTTTATATTTAACGGCCTTTAAAAATATGTTCTTCTTTACCTCTGTCATTATTTAAAGGGATCTTTAAAATACATTAGAGGACTATCTTAAAGAAATCTGTTTAAATAATGACAGAAGTAAATTAACGAATACAAACATATTTTTAAAGGTCGCCAATATTTTAAAAGGCCGTTAAATATAAAGAAATTGTTACAGAATAGACCCCAATGGGGGGCGACCTTTAAAAATATGTTTGTATTCGTTAATTTACTTCTGTCATTATTTAAACGGATTCCTTTAAAATAGTCCTCAAATAACAATCATTTTTAAAGGGATGTTAAAATTCGCCTTAAATTTTTAACGGTTTTGAATTGAAAATTGAGGATTTGTATGATTATGTTTTCAAACTAGTTCAAATAAATCTTAAATGTGATGTTTTTAATTAATAATTTTTAACAGCCCCCTAAAATTTGTGTACACAGAATACCATTGGTTAAAAAAATTAACGGGATGCTAAAAGTTTAATTTTTAAACGGATGTGTTACAGAATAGACCCCATTGTCAATCATAACCCCCTAAATGAACAGTTTTATTTCCCAAAAATAGGTTTTATAATTTTTGTATATCAAGTGTCATTTTTTTTGTAATCGCAGCAAGTGATCTTCTTTGCGCAACTAATTACATAATGTTGAACAACTTATTATGCGAAAAGAAAAAAAACCTCTTTTTGTTTTTAAAATGAATAATATACATTATTATTGAAAGATTATATCACTTACAACCTAGTAATAATGTTGTTTTGGTCCTTATTTTCCATTCTAAATTAGCACAAAATAATTAAAACACACTACAAGTCGTTGAGAATAAATAATTGATATTATTTTTTATTTGTCAATAAAATGATACATATGCAACTAACAATGCAAGAAAGTAGTATTATTGGTTGCCTAATGTCAGTAATTTCTTACAAACAACAATTTTATAAATTCTAGTAAAAATTAGAAAAAATATTGTATGTAATAGAAAGAAATATTTTGGGAAACCGTGACTTGCTCCTAGTCTAAAATAATGTCGAAATAATGTGGTGGTGTTTTACTAACTGTTTTTTAATAGTTAATAATTTAATATTTGTTATCTTTCATCTAATGAAATAGATTCCTTTGCTTTAGATTTGCTAATTTTAAGTTATATTAGAGCAGTGATACTCTGCGGAGCACTGGGGCTCCGTAAAGCCTTTGTGAGGGCTCCGCAAAAAAATAATAGTCAAAAAAGGCAGTACAATCGTCACAAAAGGGAGGGAGCTGACTTAAGGACCTTTTTTGAAATGTATTCAGGGCTCCGTCAAATATTTTGCTTTCCAAAAAGGTTCCGTCACCAAAGA